TTTATTGTCTATGGCCACGATGATTCGCCCGTGATTCCGGTGATTCTGTATCATCCCGGCAAGCTCCCGGCCTTCTCGAGAGAGATGTTGAAAAGAGGCATTAGCGTCGTTATTGCTGGCTATCCTGCAACTCCGCTTTTGACGGCGAGAGTCAGGTTTTGTGTCAGTGCGGCGCATAATAAGGAGGATATGGATCGGGTGTTGAGGGCTTGTGATGAGATTGGGGACCTTTTGGATTTGAAGTTCAGTACCGGGAGCATGGGTGGGATCGATCCACTGCCGGAAGGGGTGATGTTGGCTGATATTGTGGATGATTCTTCAGACGGTGCGAGGAAGGTTGAGCCCCCAAGATGGAAACTGGAGGATGTCCTTACACACGGGGTGCAAGATGCTCTTCGTCAGTTGAGATGAGATGGTAAGAGAAATCTTGCTCTCATCCAACTTAAATCTTTGGCCGCCTCAGATCTTACACCAGGATCTATCATTTACTTCTAGAGAAGTGCCCGTAAGATCTTCTCAGCTACACTTTAATATCATTATCAAGCCCCAGCAGGTTATCGTTGCTCTCCTATATCTTCAATTTTCTTTGCCTGATTCATTGTCATCTGGAGATGAATCATTTTTCTCTGAAGCTTTCTACATCAGCGTAAAGTAGGCTTTCAGAACGAGGTTTTTGTTCGCTGAACTTCATTCAGATAGAATCTCTGGCGAATAGTAAAAGAGAGGAGCTGTTGCATTGTCACATTCAGGCAGGCTTTAAATTTACAGCAAGTCGACCGAACGGTCGAGAAAAAAGATGTTGGACCATCCTTTGCAGGGTTGGGCCACTTTGCCCCACTTAAACTCTTGACAGTAACACGGCGGTCTTGCCAAAGGTGAAAGGATTTATTGTGTTTGCGAATTATTCACCACCAACAATCTGCCATCGCTTCTAGATTTACCCCCTCTGTTGACCTCCCCTTCGTCGACCTTCCCTCTATCAACAACTACCAACTCCAGCAACATGGCAACCACGACTGCCACCATGGAGCCCGAGCCGATTCCTCTTCGAACTCTGACGGTGTTACTAAACTATGAGCGCGTTATCTCCGACCCTCGATTCAAGAACTACAGGCTCACCAGGTCAAGCATCTCTGACCCGAGCTTGATCGATCGCACGAAGGCGAGCAACCCATCCGAGTTCGCAAAGCTCCCAAAGTCAATCGAGTACGTCTCCCTCTTCAGCAAAGACTCACTTGAATCTAGAGTGCTCAATCGTTCTATCGAGAGTCACATAGTGAGCAGTATTCTCTGAGATGCATTTTGGCTGACTTGCGGCCCGCAGAAGGACATCCATCACCCTGTTCCAGACATACGACGAGCCTACATCAACCGAACCGCCGCCTACTGTCTGTCAAATCCATCCGAATGCGTTTCTCGATGCCCATGCTCTGACAGATGCTCAGCGAGAGTTGCTGTACTATCAAACACGTGGTCATGATGGGTGTTACAAGGCGATTGGACTCTACCAGTTGTTCTTCGATCTATATGGCCTTGAGAACAAAATTTCAGTTCAGATCAAAGACGAGGTGCGAAAATTTGTTATCACCTTCGTCCATCTTTGCTCAATAATCGATTGTAGGAACCCCTCATTCTCGACCTAGCTACTCGCATGAACCTTGAGTTCAAGATTCGCGGACCGAAGCTCCACACAATCACGGCCTTCTCAGGAAAAGAGCTGTCCTTGTTGAACGGCAGTAAGGAAGACGAGTGCCATGTTGTTGGTGTGTTCGAATGCAATCAAGACAAGAACAAATGGATTGTCGTTGATATGAGCCGAATGCAGTATGGTGAAGCCGGACGTGGTCTTTTTGGCGAGAACTATTTCTTGGGCACATTGACGCAATTTCGCGAGTCAATGAAAAAGATTTGTGGCGAGGCCATCGTCGGAGCCCTAGTACATCCGACGCTGGTTCTCGGTGGTAACGTTGAAAATGAGCTCCGCCTGAGAACCTGTGCGAAGAGAGCTTGGGAGAGATGGCAAAATCGAGAGAAGGAGGGCTGGTGTGCTTTCTGCGGCAAGCCAGGACGCGACTTGCAGAAATGTTCTGCCTGCAGAAACAAGAAAATCTTCTATTGCTGCAAGGCGCACCAGAAGTCTGACTGGAAGCTGCACAAACATACTTGCGAGAGGAACCAGAAGTGAGCACAGATGTTGCCACTCTCAAGGCAGGTCTGATAGGAGCTTCTTCGCATGTCCACGAATAAAGGTTTCGATACGGAGGTACTTGCATGAGAATGTTATTCATCATCCTCATACCGCACGCTTGAATTCCCTCCTAACCTGTTTGGCCCAAGTGGCTGCCACATGGCTTCCGTGGGGGTCGTCTGCCTTCTTACTTGGGAATGCCCAGCTCGTCCTCCAGGCTCCAATGAGAGAAAGACAACGAAAGACAACAACGGGAATGTTTCTATCTTTGGCCACCCCTCGCTCATCTTCCGACCCCCTTTCCATTCAATTGAGGCCAGTCAGGTGATCGGAGGATTCGGGCACAATTCATGGAGATGTCTCCGAATGAACCACGGTTTTACTTCAGATCCACTGAACTCTTCACTTCTTTGATGCTATAAGCTGATTGGAGCAGACCAGCCGTTCCTCTGGGGAACCCCACGAAAATAACGGGAAAGCTCAATACGTACGGGATAATGACTCGATCGGTATATACCAGCCGTGCGCCTGGGTGGAGAACATATTCGAGACAACAAATAGTCTTGCAAGCACGGTTCCCACGGCAGGACTAAATCACTCAATCGGTACCTTCAGCCGTCCTACTGGGAATCCAAGCACGAATAATAGGGCAAGATTCGGAACATCCCAGGATCCGACACGTTGTCTGCCGTCCCTGATCCGCCCCTCTCGGTCTCTCCGGCCCTTCTCCGTGCCTGACATTCTGACAGACCCGGGACAGCCAATGAGTGACGCCACCGGCTTCAATCTGCATCCGTTTGTCCTTGGGATTGGGGCTCTGAAACTTGGAGATCCCGCTCGGTAGCGGCATGATCCCTGGCGTTGCTGTCCCGCGGGGGCGCGAAGGAAGCCCCGCATAAACGTGGCTGAGGAATCTAGGCCTTCACCATCGCAGAACTGAGGAATCCCCACTCGTGCCCTGAACGACAAGCCACTGAAAAAGGAGGTTTAAAACATGCTCGAGCTTCGATAGTGTTTGGCTTACGTTTTCAGTTTCTAGGCCCCACTTCACAGCTTCGATAGGGCGAGACTTGGTGGCTGAGGCCCAGTGCAAGGCTATTGGGAGGAGAATCGAACGATGGCTTGGTGGCCGAGCACATCGAAAGGGATGATTATGAATGGATATAAGACTGGGGGCGAGATCTTGAATCTGGGGAAGATCTTGCTGCAACTGCCGAATACGAGCCCTTGGCATCATGTCTGCAACCACTGCTCCGGTTCCTGTGTACTTCGAGGAGAGCTGGGCAATTCTTAGCAGCATTTGTCTTGTGAATGTCCTCTTTGGCTTCATGGTTATTGGCATTACAGCCTTGACACCAATATCAATCGTTCCCATTGTTGTGAGTATAATGTTGCATTTCCTCCCACCTTCTTGAATTGTTGCACTCCTGCAAGTCAAGATGAGTTATGCTGATGTTTCTCAAGTGTTCTGCAGCCGGAGCTATAGCAAATGGATTATGTTATTACGCCTTCTATGCCCACCACCCTATAACCAACACCGTCATTGCAGCAGCAGTTGCAGACGTGACTTGGTGTGTCAGTATCCCTTACCTTCTTTAATGTTCTTAGCTCACAAGAACTCTACAGATCCAAGAAGGCGGCCTCTCATTCTACAGCTACTTAATCCTAATCCGAGTCCTCAAAGGCCGCAGCCGCACGATCTTCATGTCCCTCTTCTGGTCAGGAATAGTGATCATCGTTGCCGTCCGCATCGGTATCCTCACTGAACGCGCTCGCGACATTCTGCAGAACACCACCGACCGCCAAAGCACCATCGACCATCTACATAATGTCTACTTCGGCACCATCGCTCTCGTCGAATGCAACAGCGCTTTCTTCCTCCTCCGGAAACTCGCTTTCGCCCACAAGTCATCGATCGAAGCTGCATCAGGCCACAAGCTCTTTGTGTACCTGATGAGAAGCACCGAGATCAGAGTCGCGATGCTGGCATTGATTGGCTTCTCGCGCACGATCACGTATTCCTTCCAGACTACGGCGCAGTCGGCGACGTCGACTATGGGCCAGTTGGATCGATTCGTCGTTACGCTGGAATGCCTGTTCCCTGAGATGATGTTGTAAGACCACCCTTCCTTCCTAAGCAGTAGCAATAGCTCATTTTCATATCAGCATCGACATCCTCGCCTCCCGACTGATCTTCGGCAACCGCAACCACGAATCCTCGACCCAAAGCCGCAGCCAGCATTTCACCAGCAGCCAACACCACAAGAATATCACGCCTGCACAGGGGTTCGATGATATCTCGATGTATCCAGTTGGACATGTTGAGACGAGAGTCGATGCTAGAGGCATTGTGTCGACGTCGCAGGAACAGATTATCGATCGGTCGGTCTCGAGGTTTGAGGGGAGGAGTAGTGGGGAGGAGAGCCAGCATAAGGGTGCGGGGGGTAATATTGTGAAAACGGTTGAGTTTGAGTTTCATGATTCGGCTGTTTGATGCTCGATGGCATATTGATACTAGAATGTATTATGTCTTATTAGAGGCGGTCTTGCTTTGTTATGAGACACGAATATGGACGTATGATAATTTTCAATGTCTAAATCGGATATTAATACACAATATATAGTATTTCTATTTGAAATCCTGACTCCAAAATTAATGAAAAAAAGCTGCAGCTACACAAAGCTTTCTCACATACCACTATGCCCCTGAACCCCTATCCTAAGCGAGTCCCCGCATTTCTCACCTTTTACTCACCCCTCGAGTCAAATTCCGTATAAACATCAAATTATGCTTATATTTTGTCAGTTGAAAGGGGATGTAGCTCAACGATAGAGCGCACAGTAAAAGTCAGGCATGGCGCGTCGGCAGTAATGAGACTCAAAGTGTTTGGTTTAGCGAACTTCTGTGAGGTGCTGGTTCGAATCCAGCCGTCTCCAAAATGATTTCCATTTCTTTTTGCTCTTTTTTTGTGCACTTAAAACTGAGCGCTAATTGGTTTTATAGAGATATTTGTATACCTTAGCTTGACGTGAGGAGCTACACATCAGCGACTCTTGAATTAATCGAGAACACCTCACGTGAGTTTGACTAAGCATTTTTAGTTGCTTCTAAGTATCCGAGAAGTTCTTGTCAGATGTTTCAATGGCAAGACATTCCTGTATTCCTTCTTGATTTAGTACATTTTTCATCCATCCGTAATAGTAAACCCCACAAAATTCGACACAGGAACCACCAACTAGCATTATCGCATGATGTATCAGTTCCCTCGCGTTAATTATTTTAGTGTCCCAGCCAAATGTTGTCTCCTGTCTCAATCTTAGGATCTTGTTTGTTGGACTGACAGCAGATAACCTAGTATTCTAGTCGAGGAACGTGGACCTGCCCAGAGGGCTATACTATACCGAAGATCAAGGCATGCAAGCATGAGAGCATTGATTGTTGATGAATTCTCTAACTGATCAATAACACGTCTCATTAATTAATAAGACGATTGATGGTTAAGACAGAATAATTCTGTAGAGGGGGAACAGTTGAAAGTGGATAGGGGCTAAGTAGCTGTCATTCATATGATGATGCGGTGAAATTGTGAATGGGCACTCTTTTCACCGTACTACGAATCACGCTATGTGGAAGCACTAAGGGGAGAATTGAAAAGCCGAGCAGAATTATGGCATCGGTGCAACCAACCAAGCCGCTTATTCTTAGGGCTTATTCAGGGCTTAGATATTATAAACGAAGATCTGCTAACCAAAACGCTCACGTATATCCCCGATTTCCTATATTATTATAATCCGACACAACATGGTAAATGCCACGAAAAGCATATGTATTCACTCTCGGCTCGCTTCATCTAGATCTCGCGTATATAGTGTGAATCATTATACATCGCTGTGAGTCATTCCGGGAGTCGGTCGGTTACTAGCTGGCTTCTGTTCTTCCCTCCCTCTGTCCTTGCTTTGCTAGTTCTTCTGCACAGCGCTCTAGGTCTTAATATTTCCTCCACGAGTGGTTGTTAAATTTGCATATGACTACCTTAGCTTGGGTCCCGTTGTGAGAGTTCAGTTAGTCTTCAAACATAATGCTCGAGACTATACGCTACTTTCTATCATAGAACAGCTACCTATTTACAGAATTATTCTTGAGACTTATTAAGAACGCTAGCCTATACTAGTAAATTGACTCCAACCTATAATCGAAGCAGTATATCCCATTTCTGTGAAGTCATTCAAGGAAGTCCAATGCCAGTCGTGTTTGATGATGACAAAATCAAAGCTCGCGATTAAAGATCGTGGTTTGCTAGTATCCGAGGAGCCCAATTGGAATACCGCCACAAAGTTTTCTTGGCCTCATGCTCCGAACAAGTATTAATCATCTAAGTGGCAAGTTCTCAATCGCAGAAAGAAGAACACGCCAAATTGAGCGGGGCAACAACTGTGTTGATGTTGCTCAGTGCTTCAAGCATGGCTTCAATAATATTATAGAGGGACCATTGGCTCGTTGGCTCGGGAAATCTAGGCGTGGTCCAGTGGTAGTGAAATTGTGTGGCGTGTGGCGTTGTGTTATGATTTGATGTTAAGAATCTTACTGCAAAGGTCATCGGGTCCAGAATTTTCGTGGTCGTGGGCATTCATATTGAAATCTTGCAAATAGGTATATGTGTGAATGTGAAAGTGCCTCATAGATCGGACGAGAAAAGGTAATCCCACATCGGAATGTCGATATGAATATTTCCATTTATCTCTTCAGACCTGAGCTATTGCTGCTTTGGCCTGAGCAGTGGGTGGGCCAGGCTGAGCAAGTGGGATCAGCGGAAAGTGACCGTTTGGGCTCCTCGGCTACGCCTGCCACCTGCCAAAATTAGAAGGGATGCTTTGGGGCACTGCCACCTCTTGGAATCTATCACGGTGTCGTGATGTTATCCATTTTTGCTCCCATGGCAAACTTACAAGGGTCCTAGCCAGAGCAAGTTTGGATCCCCTCTGGTCCAGTCGCCTGCAAAAAAAATGAAGCCTTGCCAGGGAATCCAAGCTATCCGGTCTATCTGCAACACCCTTAATTTCGCGACTTCCTCCTTGATAAGTAGCGATGCAGTTATCAATGCCTATGAGTGGAAGAAAGGAAGGAAAATCGGGCTCAGGCTTAGAGCTACATATGGTTCATGTCTGGTAGTCTCAGGAGAAACATCTATAGTCTGAACAATCCAAGCTCCGGGCTTCATGAAGCCAAAAATGACGGAAAATGGAAATGCTCATAGATGAAAATAGTAAATGAGAGCATCTTGCGGGACGAACGGGGAACGGTACAGGTTATTGGGGTCGACGAGATTCGTGTGATTCGAGAGGGTCAAAGGGACCTGGTTTCTCCCAGAGGCGTCAGAATTCGTGCACGACCTAAGCGAAGAACATGCAGAATATTTCAACAGCGACAATAGGTAGAAATGTAATTTACGGAGAATAAATACCCTTCAATCCGAGCTTTATGCTTCTTAAAAGAAATTGGGATCGAAAAGTAGTAGTTGCGCGACAAAGTGTGGGTTTATATTCTAGGGCGCGTGCACGAATTCTGATACCCCTAAGGACCCATTATGCATAGTGAACGTACTCTGTGTGTGATCGGGCTACGAATAAGGCTATGCCACATTGCTTAAACGCGTCTGCTAATATGCAAAAGCAGAATCACTGTGAGTGTAGTAGTTGAGATCACGTGACATAGCTACGCTACAGCTTTGACGGTTCTGACAGTGACGTGTATTTCACCTGACCTTTCCCCTGGCCGGGCAGTGCTGTACAAGCCTACTAAGGCAGCAAAGCTAGTCTCTCTCGCCGTAGAGCCTCAATAATGAACCAGTCTGCCAACCTACTGCAGCGATATCGCGCCTTAACAGATGGTTGCATCCGGCTTCTGTCCCTCCAGCCATCCGCCAATTGCGACGCCCAGGTTGAGTGCCATCTTTCGCCAGCACGGATCGACGAGCGGCCCTATGAAGCTCTTTCCTACGTCTGGGGTCAGGAAGATCCCCTCTACGGCATTCTCGTCGACGCAGAAGAAGTACATGTGCGACCCAATCTCCACGGCGCGCTCAAAGAGCTGCGCCTGACGGATCAGCCGCGGATACTGTGGGTCGACTCGATCTGTATCAACCAGTCGGACATCGGCGAACGAAATCACCAGGTCAGGCAGATGGGAGCCATTTTCTCTTCTGCAACCCAGGTCATCGTCTGGCTGGGTGAAGGGGACGACGACACGGACGTGGCAATCGACTTCGTTCAAGCCCTATCGAAACTCGATCCCGGTACCGCAAGGCGCATTGTTGAGAATAACGGTCTGCCATGGGAGCACCGCATCCGGGTGTTCCATGCGCTGGGTATGAAACATGGGCATGACAATTATAATCGCATTGTCGGAGGTCTGACCAAGCTGATGGATCATGTTTGGTGGAAGAGGGTCTGGACAGTCCAAGAGATTGTGCTGGCCAGATTTGCAAGCCTCAGATGCGGGGCAAAGTCTGCCTCCTGGAGTCATCTCAGTCAGTTGGCTGCGTTTGCCCTCGAAGTCTCTCATCACCACACTCTGGGCTTGGGGCGGCCGATGGTCGAGGCCGTGTTTGATGAAATTACAGGGAACGTTTCGAGGCTATACGTGGCCACCGGTACTCTCAACGACCTCTCATACAGAGTGGCCAACGGCTTAGATATTAATCTTGAACAAATGGTCATGCAGATGCTCACTCGACAGGCGACGGACCCGCGGGATGTAATATACGCTCTTCTGGGGCTGACAACCGAGAAAGCCATTATCGAAATTGACTACGGCAAAAGCAAGAAGCTGGTCTACAGGAGCGCGATGAAATACATGCTCGAGCGTAATCGCGTGGGGCTGGTTCCGCTTCACTTCCTGCAGGACTGCTACTTGGAGCGAGATCCCACTCTCCCATCTTGGGTTCCCGACTTCGGCATTCTGCATTCTTTCAAGACGATCAACCTAGCCACGAGTGGCATTGGAATGGCCTTGGCTCTTAGGTCTTTGTATAATGCGTCACTCGGCGATGCTGGCTGGAGCCCGCCGAAATTTCTTGACGACGATAATGTGTTGGAGATGGAAGGAGTGTCGGTGGACGAGGTGAGAAACCTAGGTGACGTCTGTCCTCGCTTCACCATGGGAAGGAAAAGCCGGGAAGCCCAGCTTCGAGTTGTCGTTGACCAATGGCGTAAGCTCGTTCCAAAGAAGGAAGAGGCGTACATCGGAGGAGGTTCCGTCATCGAAGCGTTTTGGAGAACGGTAACTTTTGATCTCCTACTAACTGATCGAGAATATCTGGCCGGAAACCCAGACAGAAGAGACATAAGGCTCCCGAGAGGAGCTGCCGGAATGCATCCCACATCGGCAGTAGAGGAAGCGGAAGTACGGGAAGGGATAGTCGACGCCCCTCCTCCGAAGACTGTCCTTGAAAAACTCGGTGAAAGACGGTTCTTCGTCACAAAAGCAGGGTATTTTGGGCTGGGGCCGGCCTCCATGCAGGCTGGTGATATAGTCTGTGTCCTGCGAGGGGGTTTCTTCCCTACCCTGGTCCGGCCAGCAACGAACGATCGTTACACCATGGTCGGAGAATGGTAAGCCTCAACACTCATCACTATTTAATTCAGCTAGCTAAGAAAAGTGTACCAGTTTTGTATACGGAATCATGGATGGCGAAATGATCAATTCTGTCAAGAAGGGAGAGTCCTCACGGCAACCTTTCTCTTTCGTTTAAGAGACACCACGAACTACGAGGCTTAATGACTTCCGAGCATTTTTATAGGACTCTAAGGATCAGATGTTAGCCTGCTTTACGTTCTAACTGTAGTACGAGCTTATTGATGGTGCTGTGATAAAGGAGTCCAATAACACCATGAAATGAAACTCTCCGCAAACCAGGCCCGACGATGACGATGCGAAC